CTTAAGCTAACAATACGGATGCCTCCTTAGTCATCCATCTTCCTGCCTCTCTTTCCTCCTCTCACACCAAATAATTACTTTTGATATTTGTTTGATAAAAATGGTTGTATATCTGTCAAGCTCCTACTATGTAGATTCCTCTGTTTCCTCTTTCCTATTGTTAAACTCTATTCCTTCCTGTCAGATAATACTGTGAGTGAAACAGAAAGGCCCTGCCATGTTGTTCAACAACCTTTTTACCAATTATGTTCTGTGTAGACTGGCCATTTCACATTGCAGTGTTGATACATAGTAGATGCTTGATAACAATTTGTTGAATGACTGGTTTGTTTGCAAAAATTTGTTGATTGACTCTTTTCACTCAGGCCAGAATGGGCCAGTCTCATATCCGAATTCCAACTGTGAGAGATTATTCATTATGCTTAGAAAGTGAAATAGTATTTCCGGGAACAAAATGAGAGAATGGAGAAATAGAAAAAGAAATAACTGAATGGGAAGGAGAAGCGGAGAGATACATAATTAGGATGATAACAGAACAACATCTGTAGGAACTTGAAGGAAGTTTGTGTAAATGAGAATAAAGGGTTAGTTAAGGGCTAGGGGATAGGTAGGATAAAGCATTAAAATGGCTTATGAAAATTAGGAAAGAAAAGGCATTTAACATTTTACTCACCATTTGGTTTTGCATTCCGTTTCTTTTTGCATTCGTTTTCTTTTATTTAATAAAATCAATGCCTTTATATATCATTGCAGTGTTTTCCAGATTGAAAACTGTGATTCATTATTGGACTATGAAATTAATGTAGTGGGTCGTGACAAATTTTTAAAGATAATGAAATAGAATAGAAAACATTAGAATGTGTTGCCCTCTCAGTATTTTCTCATGGTACTTTTGTTTATATCTGTGTGCACACATATGTATATGCATGGATGCATAGACAGGAAGATAGGTAGATAAATAATGTGGCTTTGGGTACTTGATCACAGGGCTTCCCAAACTTGATGGAATGTACCATGAATATTGTTGTTTGCAATGTTCACTTATGATTTGAGGTACATGATGCAATTTTAAATCATGAACAACGTCTGTCACAGATTGGTAGCTATGACACATCTTGGCGCCTTCATTGAGAATATGATGCTGAAGCTGAGCTGGGTTATCATCTCTCCTAGGAGTAGGAAGTGTGGTATGAAAATGGAAATTAGAGAAGGTTACTTTTAAGGTTTCTTATAACTGTGATACTGTATGCTCTTTATAATTATTTTTAATGTAAAAACTAATTTGTATAAACATTTAAAGTAATGAAATCCAGGACAGCAGGAACCTAGGGCCTATCCAGGGCCTATTTTTGAGTCTCGCACTGTTTTAAGCATCAGTGATACATCGATGGAAAAAAAGCAGAGCAATATAAAAGCTCCTGCATTCAAAAGACACTATTAAAAAAAAGTAAGCAAGCAAGTACATAGCATGTGATAAATGCTATGGAGAAAAAGCAAATCGGGATGATGGACATGGGTAGGGTAGTATTGGGAGAACCTTAAAACAATTTTAAACTGAATGATCAGGGAAGACCTCACTGATAAATTGACATTTGAACACAGAATGGAAGGCAATAAGGGAAGAAGCCCTGCAGGAATGTAAGGGAGGAACATTCAAAGCAGAGGGAGGAGGTGGCACAAAGGATTGGGGGCAGAAGTTAGATGAGGTAACTTTGAAAGTGAGGTTGGGAGAGAAGAGAAAAAAAAGGTCAGTCAGATGATTGCTTCTTAGGACACTAGTATTTAGGGATTGGTGAGATTAGGAAGAGTCTGCAAAAGGGATTGGAAAAGGAGTAGACAGTGAAGTAGGAGATGAACGCTGAAAAGTGGTGTCCTGGAACCAAGAGAAGAAAGTGTTTCAGAAAGTAGGGCTTGATAATTTGGGTCTCATGCTACTGTAGACCAAGTAAGATGAAAGCCAAGGATTGACCATCGAATTTACCAACATGAAGGTCATTGGTGATTCTAAGAGGACTCAGTATACACACACATACACCTATATTTATAGAACATATATACATATTATGTATTGTGTGTAGTGTTAAAAAATATGTATAGTATAAATACTACTGTAGGGTGTATAAATATTTAGTATTGATTATATTAGACATATCTGTATATCTGTGTGCGTGTGTGTGTAAATGCGTACATGCGTGGCATTATAGAGATGTGTTTACCATCTCTGTACTTGGCAGTGCAATAATATAGCAAACGGTTCTTATATCTTCATAAATTCCTTTTAAAAACATTTATTGTTTTATAATTGAGAAGTGTTGGAAAACAAATTATAAAGAAGAAAATAACAGTCCATATTGCAGTGGCAGTAGATAACCAAGTTTTTTCCTATGCAGATAGATGGGACGGGGGTGGAAGGCAGGCAGGTAATAGGTAGATGAGTAGGTGTCTGAATATGAGTATAGAGTATATGTTACATATTGAAATGTACTGTATACGTAAGCTTTTATGCCTAATACTGTCAGAGTCTCACATGATTAAAAGTCTGTTTCACCACTGTTTTATATAATTCTGTGATTCTTAATAAAAAAGTATAAAAACAGCATATATATATATAATATATATATATATTATATATATGCATAACTAACTTAGCAAACACCACTTGGTAGACTGCATCTTTCTTCTGTGTTCTAATATAAGTAAAAAGCAGTATTTTTTATATATATGTATATATATACATACACATACACACACACACCAGTAATTCAGTATTTTTCACTTTTCATACTCTGTTCGTCCCACAAAGTTTGCATTTCTGCCTCTGAAAAATTAGCTGCCATATAACCAGAGACATAGCTAATACAATACATAGCAGACTTCCTTAGGAGTTCATTCTGATCATCTCAGTGCTCCGTCATGAGCCTTTGAGCATGAGACCCAGTTGACTGCAGGGACTTTTACTGCCACCCCTTCCTGGTGCTTAGGAACATATCATCAGGCAGCACTCACTGCAGTCCCCATTGCCTCTCTAGACGCTGGTTGCCTTGAACTTGACTGCATTTGACAATTGTTGATTCAGGGCAGTGGTGTTCACCTAAAAGTGATTTTGACCCCTGGGGACATTTGGCAATGTCTAAAGGCAGTTTTGCTTGTCACAACTGGGAAAGGAGATACTACTGGTATCTAGTGGGTAGTAGCCAGGGATTCTGCTAAATATCTTTCAATGCATAGGACAGCCCCCATAAGGAATTATCAGGCCCCAAATGTCACCTGTGCTGAGGTTAAAGAAAGCCTGAGCTGCTTTGTATCAAAGAATGGGATTTGTTTCTTAGGTAGTAATATAATGAGTTAGTTAAAAGAGCTAACCTGTAATAGATTTATTAAATTAAGCAGTAAAGTTTAATTTCTTTGAAACTACCCCTCGTCAAAATCTTTACAGCTAACTTCATTTACAGTGAAATTAAATGAAGGAACTGTTTCTCTAAGGCTAGACATGGGCTTTCTCTACTTTGGGAGGAGTCGAAGATGCCATGTCAGTGGATCTGGTTATGATCAGACCTCTTAATCCTGTTTTAATTGTGGGTTCTTTGCTACTTCTGGTTTTATAGTTGTTATTTTGTGACTGACATTCAGACATTCACGGTAATTTTTAAAATACATAATTTTACATAAGTGTCCCTCAAAATGACCTTAAGATGAGAGTCTCTAGACATAATTATAGAGCAGAAGGAACTACCGACCTGGAATGAGTTGGTGGTTTCCAGGGCTATCTCATTTTCAAATTTTTCAGTTAAACACTGGGGCAGAGTTTCACATTTCTGCAAGCTCGGGAAGGATGCAGGAGGGGCACCTATACACTTTATCATGTGGACAGCACTTTTCTATCCCCACTTCTGTATATTTGAAAACACTAGGGACCGGATATGATTAACCGCATGCTTCTCCCTGGAGACCTGAACCCTAATTATTCCTTTTGCTACCATACTCTGTAATTTTTTTAGAACAGCTAGGCTTATGGCTGAGTGTCATTTGTCAACGATGACATGAATATTTGTTGTGCATTATCATTTTTGTTTAGGTTCAAAAACCAATTGCCAGTGAGTTATACTATCCAAAGGAGCAAGCTTAAAGCATGAGTTTTGACAAAGTGAATTTAATTCAGTGATAGCTGTTAAAAATCACATCTCTAACTTTAAAAGTAACAGTTTATTTTTTTCAGTGTTCGGTATCCTATTGACAGTCTTTATCAATAGCCTTGCTTCCACGGTAAATGATATGTTTTAAATTATAGAAGCCAAATATTCCCCCAAATTTTAGAACGTTTCTACACTGAGCCCTTGTTTCTTCATCTGTAAAATGAAGGTGCTGAGATCACATTATCTCTAAGGTCTTTTCTGGTACACTGAAAATCCCTAAGTAATGTCCAGTCTCTTTAATTTTTTTTTTTTTTTTTTTTTTTTTTTTTGCGGTACGCGGGCCTCTCACTGCCGCGGCCTCTCCCGCTGCGGAGCACAGGCTCCAGACGCGCAGGCTCAGCGGCCGTGGCTCACGGGCCCAGCCGCTCCGCGGCACGCGGAATCTTCCCGGACCGGGGCACGAACCCGTGTCCCCTGCATCGGCAGGCGGACTCTCAACCACTGCGCCACCAGGGAAGCCCCAGTCTCTTTAATTATTGAGAAT